TAGCAGATAATGGTACTTCCAATATTATTCTCCAGCAGTTAAATGTATCAATTCCTCTTCAGTCTTCCTTATTAATCATCCAACTTTCACAGGTATATGAGGCTATTGAAAATACCAGGGCTTGGGTCAGGCACACCTTAGTCCTCAAAGTTAACATCCTTGCTTTTCAATACTCTACAGAGGTCTTGTGCAGCAGACTTACTTAATGCAAATGGTCTTTTGACCTCTTGACTGCTGCTGCCATGAAAACTGATTGTGGATCCAAACATGCCAAAAATTCTTGGTAACTTCAATATTTTCTCCGTTTCGAATGACGTTACAGCTGTGAAGACTTTGTTCTTACATTGAGTGGTAAACCCTACTGAAGGCTGCAATCCTTGATCTTCATCAGCAAGTGTATCAAGTCTTCACTTGCAGCAAGCAAGGTTGCTTCATCTGTGTATTTCAGGTTCTTAATAAGCCTTCTGCCAATCCTGATGTTCTTCATATAATCTAGCTTCTCTGATTATTTGCTCAGCATATACATTGCATATGTATGGTGAAAGGATACAATCCTGATGTACACCTTTCCTCACTGTAAAACATGCAGTATTCTCTTGTGCTGTTTGCTCAACTGCCTCTTGATCCATGTACAAGTTACATATGCGCACAATCAAATATTCAGGAATTCTCATTCTTCTCAAGGCTACCCATAGTTTGCTATGATCCACACAATCAAATGCCTTGGCATAGTTGAGAACATCATTCATGAAGAAAGTAAAAGGTTATTAGAAAAACAGGAAAGACCATCAAGTGTGGTGGAGTGAAATTTCTTAAGGCTCTTCTACCCAATCTCCCTAACATCTACTAAATGATTAGGTGGGACTACGCAGATAGGGCATGTGTAACACTAATAGGGAGGACTAGTCAGTTTTCCAGCCCCCTGGCAACAAGGCTAAGCCATCTTTGAAGAAGCAGGAGAGGAGAACTCCCGAGAACCTTGGAAGAACACATTCAAGGTTTGTTTGAAATGGTGGAGGCTGCCGCGACAGATGTGCATCATAGACTGTGGCACAGAGACTATGCGGTACCTTCCCCTTATCTGACCTCAGACTATGGAACTGTGGGGCAGACTGACAGGCAGGCTGGCTTCCTGGTCCATGGAGACATAGGCTGAAAACCGGAGAAAAAACTGGCTGTTTGCTGAGGAGACCAACGATTATATCCTTACTATCTGCTTATCCTGACTTGTGCTAACTTATTAACTTCTCTAATAAATCTCCTTAATTGTACTGTCCAAGTTCTGTATGGCCAGCAAAGAATTATCAAATCTAGCATAGATGTAGTATGATATGGGAGGAACAGTTTGTGTCAGAATGGACCATGGAGGCTTGTCTGATCCCTGCCTGATGGCAATATGGAAGCCAGAGGAAGTCAGCTGTCTCTCCACTGCCATTCATTTATGCCATATTTTCCAATCACTGTTTCTTCCTCTTGCTTCCAACTTTTGCATTTCGATCATCAATAATTATCAATGAATGTTGATGGCATATTTGATCAACTTCAGACTGAAGATGTTGCTAGTATTCTTCCATTTCTTCATCATTGGCTTTAGTGGTTGATGTATGGATTTGAATAGTGATATTCACTAGATTTTTCCTTGTATGCGTATTATCAGACAGAGACCCTGAAATGTCTTTTTTGATAATGAATGTGATGCCATTCCTCCTGAATGGATCATTCCTTTAAGTAAACCTTTTGGATTCAAAAATGGGCCAGTACTAGTCCATTTCAGCTCACGAATACCTAGGATATCGATTTTTATGTGTTCCATTTAATTTTCTGTGACTTCCAATTTTTTAAGATTCATACCTTATACATTCCAAGTTTAAATTAGCAAGAGATGTTTCCAATTTTTTCTCAATTTGAGTTGTGCCCCCATCACCAAATGTAGGCCCCACATCGCATCAGTATGGTCTGTGAGAAGGAGGCTCTGCCTCAGACTATTCTGAGTGCCTTTCAACCTCAGCGGCTCATCTGCCGGCTCTGTTATCGAGCAGTACTCTCGTATTACGCATGACGTTTTCAGTGTATGACAATGTTCCGCTGCTATTCATAAGAACAGATTTGACTCACTGGACAAAAATGACAGAAGACCAGATGAGCTCTGGGATGACATCAAGAACATAGTATATGAAGATATTAAAAAGATTAAAGCGGATGTCAGAAAAGACTCTGAACTTGCTCTTGATAACTAAAGCAAATGGAAGAAATGATAAAATAGAAGAGTT